GAAAACAGAAATAGGTTGTGAAACAGGAATTGAAATATCAACCAACAACCTGGATAACCAAGTTAGTTCAGCCACAAGTTTCCTAGTGTCGGGGCAGGTTGCCCAATCACTGTCAGAGTAAGCCATGAGAGTACAATCAGGAGAATTAGAGTAAAACAATCCAATGTCGATCGTGCCCATCAAATATCTTAACATGTGCAAAGCAACAGACATATGAGGTAAACGAGGTGCTTGCAAGAATTTACTTAAATGTTGCACCCCAAAGTAGGTATCAGGTCGAGTATGGGTCAAAAATAAAAGCTTACCAATTAAACTGCGATACTTCTTAGGATTGGGTAACAAGTCCCCAAATCAACCTTCAACTTAGTATTCAAATCCAAGGGACTAACAACAGAAGAGATATCCAAGCAGCTATATTCCCAAGCAAATCAGTTACAAATTTTTTCTGGTTTAAAAAAACTCCAGTGGGAAAAGTGGATACCTCAATCCATAAAAAATAATGCAAAGCCTCAGATCTTTGATCTTAAACTCGTTATTCAAAAATTATTTCAAAACTGGAATTTAAGAAAGATTGTCACATGTTAAGATTATGTTATCCACATAAACCGCAATAATGACCATGTTACCAGGAGATCCTTTAATAAACAGGGAATAGTCATTTAAAGAATGAGTGTATCCTCTCCAACACAGAGCTTGAGACAACTTTTCATACCATTGCCTGGATGTCTGTCTCAAACCATAGAAGGATTTCTTTAGCTTGCACACTAGAGGGGCAATAAGAGAAGAAGAGGAGGAATAAGAAGAATAAGAAGAAATGGAGAGTCCTGGAGGCAATCTCATATATACCTCATCATCTAAAACACCATGAAGAAAAGCATTATTAACGTCAAGTTGAAATAAAGACCAACCCTTCTTAATAGCAATAGTCACAAGACATTTAACAGTAGATAACTTTACCACAGTAGAAAAAGTTTTATTGAAATCCACCCTTCAACCTGGGTGTCACCCCTAATAACAAGTCGTGCTTTGTATCGTTCAATAATACCATCAGCCCTATATTTAATTTTATAGACCCATTTACACCCAATAGGTTTCTTCCCGGCAGGTAATTCAACAATATCCCAAGTGATGTTTGCTTCTAAAGCCTCGAACTCCTTCCTCATGGCTTCCTGCCAAGCTGGAATTGAGCTTCCTGAGCATAAGTACGTGGTTCAAATTCTAAGTGTTGAACAGAAGAACAAGAAAAAGAAGCAGAAAGTTGACATTGATAATCTTGCAAATATGAAGGATTATTATGAAGTCTATCAGACCTCCTTAAGGGTTGAGGATCAGAAGAAGTAAAAGAAGGATTAGAAGAGGTAGAAGATTTAGGAGGAGGAGAAGGAATAGAAGAACTCCCAGGACTGGAAGAAGGAGAAAGTAGGGGAAGACAGGGGAAGTGCATAAGTAAGGGAGGATGGATCAGGAGTAAAGGAGAAGGATCAGGTGCATGGAGAAGGAAGTAGTTGAGAGAGTGGACTCGAAAACATGAGCAACATGTGAATCAGAAGGTTCAGCAAAAGGAAACTGCTGCTCATGAAAAATAACATCTCTAGAGATGAAGCATTTTTTAGATTCCTGATTATAATATCCCTTCTTGGCATAGGGATAACAGGGTAAAACACACGTTATAACCCTAAGTTGGAGTTTGTCCCTTTGTGGTATGGGCATAGTGGCATAGCAAAGACAACCAAAAGTCCGCAAATAAGAATAACTAGTTTCCTTCACATACAATATTTCAAAAGGAGATTTATTATTCAGCAATTTGGAAGGCAGCCTATTTATGAGATAAGTGGCCATCAAAAGACAATCTCCCAAAAATCTTAGTGGTACTTTGGATTGAAAAAGCAATGCTCTTGATGCTTCAAGTATGGTTTTGTGTTTTCTCTCCACTACACCATTTTGTTGTGGTATGTGCGGGCAGGTAGTTTGATGAAGAATGTCATGGTCAGAAAAAAAAAAGATATGGCTGAATGATTAGAGCCCAACTCCAAGGCATTATCACTTCTAATAGTTTGGACAGTCACATTGAATTGAGTTTTAACCATCAAAACAAAGGCTTTTAGCAAGGAAAAGGCATTACTTTTAGAACCCATCAAATGAGTCCATGTAGATCTACTGAAATCATCAACAATTGTTAAGAAGTATCTAGAACCAGAATAGGTTGGTGTGTGATAAGGTCCCCATGTGTCAACATGGATAAGTTGAAAAGGCCTAGTACTCTGGATACTACTATCAGGAAATGACAACCTTGTTTGTCTAGCCATAGGACACACATTGCATGGAAAACATTGTTTAGCAGAAATAAGGAATACTTTTTTATCCTTATAAAAGGAGTGCGAGCCAATATATGATGCCAAACAATATCCATTCCATGCAATGCAGCTTTATTACAAGTAGGAAGGGGACTATCTACAAATGAAGTACTAGGAATAGAGGTACAAGATGAAGGTGAGCTGCAAGAAGTGAAGTTGTCAGTCACGGAGTTATGGGGAAGAGATGAAATTGCCGACTGAGACTTATAGAGTCTATTGCTTACTCTACCAAGCGCCAGAGGCCTCTCGAGAAAATGGGCCTGAATGAAACAACTAATACCGGTAAACATGATTATACAATGCAACTGTTGTACTAGTCTGCAAACAGAAATGAGATTGTGATGAAAAGATGGGACATAAAGAACATTGTGAAGAGTGATTGATTTATTTAAGGAATATGATCATGTGCTTGTTACCTTGACCTTATATCCATTTGGAAGGGACACAAGGCAAGGAACAATCAGGGGAACAATGTTAAAAATAACATCTTTGTTTGAAGTCATGTGATAGTTGCACCAGAATCAATTATCCAAATTAGATTTGTGGAATTAGTGGATTTAGTGGATTATGTCAGCATACAAGAACTTGAACCATGCTGATGTTCTTAACGTCAATACCACACAAGAGGGGGGTGATTTGTGTGGTACCCAATTTTCGCTTTAGAAGAATGTGGTTCTTCTAGGTGTACTTACTACTACTGTTTGCGGAATTAAGAGTGCATAAAATAAAGAACACAGAGATTTTTACGTGGAAAACACCTGGCTCAAAGGGTGAAAAAACCACGACCTACTACTCAGTAGGATTTTCCCAAACTTCCACTAAAATCACTGAGCCAAAACAACATTTACAAAACTCTTGTAAACCTAAGGATTAAACTCTAATCCTAGTGTAGCACACAACCTCAACTGTTGCGACACCTTCAAGTTAACTCTAACTTGAATACTCAAAGTACCTAATACAATTGCTTCTATGAAAGCTGGAAAGGTACAACTTTAAAACACCTACTACAATTGAACTAAAATAAAAGAAAGACACAATGGAATTGGTTCTTCTATCTTGTCCAAGTAGCTTCAAGAATGAACACTTGAATCTCACATAAATTGCTTGCAAAATTGCCTCGCTCTTTTGCTCTCAATTTAGTTTAACTTCTGCGTTTGTTCAATGCCTGTAAAAGAGAACAATCACTGTTATATAATGAGTTAGTAATCAGAGTTTGATTGAGACTCAATTGCTGATCTTCCATCGAAGTTGAGTCCTTGAACAATACAAACTCCAACCCTATCCTTTATCCGGATTGTGTCCTCTTCTCATGAGAAGACTTTCTCTCCTCATCCAATATGCAACCTTTTCTATTAGTTCAGGAGATATTGCTGCTTGATCACTGAGACTTATCTCCTTCACGTGTATCTCACATGTCTAGGTTGATAGATACCGTGCCTCACATGATGGACCTGGTCCATGACTGAGTTCATTTGTCATTCTTCAAAACTTCACCTGAACTTGGGACAACACATGCTCTACAGAATCATACAATAAAATACCAGCAAAATTAGCAGATGCCATGAGATTAGGTTAAGAAATAGAGTCAGACAAGTGAGACTGTTGAAGAAGATTCATCAACTGTGTGTATTGCTGCTGTGTCAATCCTGCAAAACCTTGATGGTCATGATTTGCAACCACAACAGTGTTAGAACTAGGAGTAAGACCAGAGGGATGAGAAGTAAAGCCATTTGAGGACTCGTTTTCTGCAGTGACACGTACTGCAACTCTCTTCCCTTTGGTGAACTTGTAAGTTTGGTGGAAAGCCATATAGGTTGTAGCACTTATCAATTAAGTGCCCATGCTTCTTGCAATATTTACAAAATAGATTAACCATACCACCCTTGTGCTGATCAAAACTCACACTTTGATTATACTACATGTGAGGAGGAGGATATATGACCTTATTATTGCCACCAGACACATGGAAAGATGTTGACTCAGAGTTAAATTGGGAATTAGGATTTACTTGTCTTTGTTTTTCATCTTGAAGTAGTCTGTTGTATGTACTGTCAAGTGATGGCAATGGTTGCATCATCAAAATATTACTCCTGACTCCAACATATATCTCATTAAGACCCATAAGAAACTGATGAACTATATCCTCTTCTTCCTCCCTCAAAAGTTCAACTTTCATAGGACACACACATGCATTTACTTTATTGCTAAACACTAGCCTTAGTTCATCCCATAACTTTTTGAGCTTGTTGAAATAAGAAGCAATGTCAAGAGCTCCTTGAACATTGGAGGCAAGCTCTTCCTTGATTTCAAAAATCTTTGTACCATTTATTCCATATCGTTTATTCAATTGCTCCCAAATGTTCTCAGTTGCTTCTGAATATTGAACATTCTCTGCTATTTCTGGAGAGAGCGAGCTCGTCAACCAGGATATGACCATGTTATTACATCTATTCCATTGTTTGAGATTAGGTGAATTATTAGCAGGTTTAGGACATGAACCATCAACAAGTGCAATCTTATTTTTAGCAGACAGCCAAAACCTAATATAAGAGATTATCACGAACAAGCTGCCTAGGTGTAGCTTCAAGAAAGGAGTTGCAAAGAGTATCGTCCTCTCTCTTTTCTGAAAGGTCACTACTGTAGCCCATGGAACCACCACTAATCAGACCACCTCTCCCGCCGGAACCACCGGACAAACTAACTCAGATGGAAGTAGAATCACCAAAGCAATCCTATAAGGAAACACTCCTAGACAAACAGGCATGCAACCAAGGTAATTACTACGACATGGAACACCAGTCCACCCCAGAAGGGTGCAAGGGTAAACGTATAGAAGGTGCAATTCCTCTATCACCAGAAGAAAAAGAAAGATTATACCAGCCATGGAAATTCTCAGTAATTATCAAAGTCTTCAAAAGAAAAATGCCTCATCACATGCTACGCTCTAAATTAATTGAACTATGGAAGCCATCCGAACAGTTAATCTTGATTGACCTAGGATGGGACTTCTTCATAGTGAAATTTAATTTAGAGGAGAGTATGGTGAAGGCACTGCATCTTGGACCATGGTTTATATCTGGCCACTTTCTTTCTGTCCGAAAATGGGAACCAAAGTTTGTTCCACAGGAAGCCACGCTTACTTCTACTGCCATCTGGATAAGACTACCTCAACTCCCAACTGAATTCTACGACAAAGTCATTCTAGAGAAAGTTTGGAGGAAACTTGGGAAACTCCTGAAAATTGATCAATGTACCTCTTCCACGTTAAGAGGGAGATATGACGCATTTGCATCCAAGTGCCATTGGAATCGCCAGTGGAAACATCAGTGATCATTGGTGACCATAAACAATCAGTGATTTATGAAGGAGAAGGAATACTATGTACATGTTGTGGGAGGATAGGACACACATCCATAAGATGTACATACAGTCAACGTCAACCAGTAGCAGCCAATGATTCTCAGCAACACCATCAAACGGACTCCTCACCGGAGGAGAGCCAATGGAAGACAGTAACATTCCCAAGAAGACGGAAGCAGGGACAGCTAAAAACATCTCCAAATGCGGAAGGTCAACCTATTAGACAACACAACAATATGCAGGCAGAGGAAAGCTAGGTAAATAAGTCCGATGACTTTTCAGGTAAGCTCCCCCAACCCAAAGCTTTTAATTACAACGTTAAAAATCAGATAAACAGTACCCAAAAACTTCCAAGGAGGCAACAAGGCCCAACAAAAATAACCACCAGCGGCCCAAAAATGCCAAGGCACGTGCCTATCCCAAGTCCAACAGAGTTGCACAACACGGGCTCTAAAAGGAAAGCGGGGCTCAATTCTGAAGACCCCACAATTAGCACCCACCAGCCCAAACCACCAGTGGGATCCAGCCCAACTACTGAGGCACCAATTATTACCTCAGGTAGCGTGCCCAATGGGGCCATCCGCATGCAATCAAATGAACCGGAAACCTTAGGCCCCATAGTCTATGCTTCCCCTACCACGTCTACTGTGAACGCCTCTAATGGAGAAAACCCAAGCGACAGATATGGCAATCGAGTGCCCTGTCTGCAACTTCCCCCTTCAACAATCGAAAAGACCCCAAGGGTCACCTCCATTACATCCACAATTAATGACCGACCAAAAACCCTAATCCCAAAACAGGGAAGCCTGTCCACTTTCCAAGGTGTGACACTAGGGAGCTTTATGATGGGAAATCAGTCATCTCTCCCCACTTCAATCCTTTCCCAAACTAGCAAAGCCAAAAAGCACAAAAAATGGCAAAAAATCCGACCACAGCCACAATCACCACCCACCCATTACCACCGGACCACCAACCGGCCTCCTGGTTGGAGGTGGCATTGCAGGGACAGGGACTCTCTTACGAATTCACAACCGACAGCAAGAAAGTCACCCTAATTGTGCAGAAACCGGCACACCTTGCGAGAGTCACAGTGGAAGCCCTCAACAAGGCCCTGACGGTGTTTGGACCAATGCTATGGCAGTCAATGGCCAACAACGATAGCCCAGCCCCAATCACAGACCCACAAACCCTAAACAACAATATTCTCCAAATCTTTCAATCACGTCCCTTCTTCCCGGACTTGATGAAGGAGGATCCAGCGGCGGAGCCTTTTTTCACTCAACTCCCCATCCCACCAATCCACAAGACAACGCATGCGAAGAAAACACCACCCTCACCCCCACTGCAGAACATCCATCGAGAAATTGCCACAACACTGGAGATTCTCAAGGAGAAGGATGCTTCAAAGGAGCCGGAGCAAAGCTACCTACCACCAACAACGGACTCGATGTTGCTAGACTCAGTGAGATCGATCGAGTTCAGTACTCAAGTGAGCGAAGTAGTGGTGGTCTTGTGTCCCAGGGTGATGTCCAAATGTGGAATGAGCTTAGTCCTAGCCCACACACAAGGTCAGTTGAAACCCCTGTTGAACTTAACCCCCATCCTGAACCTGAAAAGGAAATCACCACCCCCTCGAGTGCCCAACATGTCAAGCCCACTAAGTCCCCAGGAGGGATCTACCCCATCACCCACAGCCCCCCCATTAATGAATTACATCATATGGAATGTTGGGGGGGCAACGACGCTGAGTTTAAAAGACACTGTCTTGAAATGGTTAGGTTGCATAAGCCGGCAATGCTGGTGCTGCTAGAAACCAAGATGGCCAACCATCAAGCGCTAGCTCAAGCTCTGGATTTTGAGATGATCATCCAATCTCCAGCGGTAGGCTTATCAGGGGGCATTGTGTTCATGTGGAAAGAAGAGCTAGTGGCTGTGGAGGAAGTGGCCACAACACCCCAAGGAATACATGCTATGGTGAAGGTAAAACCTGACCATCCTCCGTGGCTTTTTTCTGCTATTTACGCAAGTAACCTTATCTCTGAAAGAAAGCTCCTATGGGAGCAGCTAACAACTATAGCTAGAACAACCAGTCATAACTGGTTCATTGGGGGAGACTTCAATGAAGTCTTGAAAGCTAGGGATAAGTTTGGGGGAAACCCTATAAACTTAAACCGTAGCAACCAATTCTGGAATTGCATAAATAAGTGTAATCTTATTGACTTGGGTTACAAAGGTAGTAAATACACTTGGACTAATAAAAGATACACCAGCTGTAATACCCTAATCTTGGAAAGGATTGATAGGTGTTTTGCGAATGAAGGCTGGATCAAGCAACACCCTGAGGCTAGTGTACTTCACTTACCTAGGACCCACTCTGATCACTACCCTTTAAAAATCCAAATGGAAGGGCCCCCAAACAATAAACCATCCAGGCCCTTCAGATTTGAAACAATGTGGGCTAGCCACCCATCCTTCCCTAACATCATAAGCCAAGCCTTCCAAGACCACCCAGGTCTGCTCCACTCCATAGATGAATTTCAAAAGCTAGCAACCAAATGGAATAAGGAAGTGTTTGGCAACATTTTCCACCAAAAAAACAGACTCATTGCCAGAATCAATGGCATCCAAAGGTCTAATAGCTATCAATTCAGCAGATTTCTTCAAAACCTTGAGTCTGAGCTGAATGATGAGCTAAACCTCATCCTAAAAAATGAGGAAGACTTCTGGAAAATGAAACCCAGGATCAACTGGCTCAATGAGGGAGATGCCAGCACAAATTTTTTCCACACTTCTACTCTGAATATAAGAAGGAGAAATAGGACCCTCTCCCTAAAAGAAGACAATGGAAACTGGATCACTGGTCCCCAGGAAATCCAGTCCACCATTGTAGATTTCTTTACCAAGCTTTACACCACATCTCTCACTCATGTACCTTGGGAAGTCACCAATCACTCCACCTTGGAACCCACCCTGCTCCAAAGCCACAAAACATTCATGGACAGACCCCCACAAATGGCTGAAATAAAAAAGGTCTGTCTTCTCCAATAAACCATTTAAGTCACCTGGCCCAGATGGTCTCCACCCCTTCTTTTACCAAAAATACTGGGACATAGTAGGAGAGTCTGTCTCACAATTCTGCATGAAATGCTTCAATACCTCCTCCATGGACAGCACCATAAACCAAACTCTTGTTTGTCTAATCCCAAAAGTTTCCCAAGCCTCAATGCTGAAAAGCTTCAGACCCATTGGTCTTTGTAATACTATTTACAAAACAGTAACCAAGATCATTGTGAATAGAATCAAACCCATCATGAATCACATCATAGGCCCAAGCCAAGCAAGCTTCTTAAGCAATAGAAGGGCCTGTGACAATGCCATCATTATTCAGGAATATATAAACCACTTCAGGAAAATGAAAGGAAAGAAGGGTAATATGATCCTAAAAATTGACCTGGAAAAGGCCTTTGACAGGCTGGAGTGGTCCTTCATAAGGGACACTCTCCATGCCTTCAACTTCCCTAAAAACCTATCCAATCTCATAATGTCTTGTGTTAGCACCTCCTCCATCTCCATTCTTGTCAATGGGGGGAAAACTGAAGCCTTCAACCCTTCAAGAGGCATCAGACAGGGAGACCCTATGTCCCCCTATCTCTTCATACTGTGTATGGAAAGGCTCTCTAGATCCATTGACCAAGCAGTCCAACAGAACAAGTGGCATCCCATTAGCATAAGTAGGTCAGGCCCCAAGATTTCACATTTATTCTTCGCAGATGACCTTACTCTCTTTGCTAAGGCCAACAACAGGAACTGTAACTCTATAATGTCAATTTTGGAGAGAACACCCAATCAGGGCAAAAAATAAATTTGTCCAAATCAAGAGTCTTGTTCTCTTCTAACACTTCCCAGGACTCAGCTCAGCTCCTTACCTCCATACTCTCCATCAAACAATCCAGATCCTTTGGGAAATACCTTGGATTCTCCATCTTCCACACAAGGCAAACATCAGCAGACTTCCAGTTCATAATTGACAACATGCACTCTAAACTTGCTGGCTGGAAGACTAAATGCCTCAACATGGCAGGGAGAACAGTCCTGGCTAAGCCAACCCTGAACAGTATCCCTAGCCATGTCATGCAATACATTTCCCTCCCTACCAAAGTAACCAAACAGATTGATAAACTCCAAAGGAACTTCATCTGGGGCACCACCCCGGAAAAAAGAAAAATGCACTTGGTCAAATGGGAGGTAGTTACTCAAACTAAGCCAGAAGGGGGGTTAGGATTGCAGAAGGCCTGTCAAAAAAACAAAGCTTCTTTAGCAAACCTAGCATGGAGAGCCTACAAAAATACTAATTGCCTTCGGGCCAGAGTTCTGATCCACAAACATTGCAACTTGTCAAGACCCAATCAGGGTCAGAGACAGCCTAGAACTCAAAAATCACCCATTTGGAAGGGATTGCTGAAGGGCTGGGAAACTTGTGCCAAAGGCAGTAGATGGGTATTGCACAAACGGAATAGGGTAAACTTCTTTAACGATAAATGGATTCCCAACCAGCCAGCTCTGAGAGAGCTAATTCAAGGCCCCCAAACTCAAAATGACCTTAACATCAAGGTTAATTCTGTCCACCAGATGGGCTCCTGGAACACCTCAAGCCTATCATTCTCTCTTCCACCACATATACATGACCTTCTGAGGTCTGTATTCATCCCTAGTGTGTCCACCAAGGAGGACAATCTAATATGGGATCTCACTGCCAATGGCCAATTCTCAATTTCCTCTGCCTACTCTCTTCTGAGAAGGCAAAATCAAAGCACCACTACTGATGGAGGGGAACTCTTCAAAGGGTTATGGAAGCTCCACATCCCAAACAAAATAAAGAACTTCTTGTGGCTTCTAACACATAAAAGACTGCCAACAAGGAGTTTTCTTCACTCAATTGGGCTGGAATGCCCACAACAATGCCACTTTTGTGGGTTTGATGAGGAGGACATTGACCATATCTTCTCCCAGTGCCCAAATGCTGTCCAATTCTGGCACTCAATAAGAGCAAAAGCATCAACCTCCACTATGCCAAGTCTTATTCTAAATGGCCTCCCTTGGGCATCAATTATGAGTACAATCAAAGACATTAAGTACAATGAGTGCCTCAACTGGGGCAATCTCATGCCATTCTGTCTATGGCACATCTGGCTAACAAGGAACAACAATGTCTTTAACAACAAAAGGGACCCTATTAATGCAAACAACACAATTGCGAAAGCTACTGAATTCTGAGTGTTGAGTGACAGTAAGCATGCAAAATATAAGCACCAAGTGATGCTGAAATGGTCTCCTCCTCCAAGGGAATCCTATAAACTGAACACAGATGGTGCAACAAAAAGAAATCCTGGAATAGGAGGAATAGGAGGAGTCTTCAGAAATCACAATGGGGAATGGATTCTAGGCTACATGGAGAACATCCCCTTTACCTCAAATACAGGGGCAGAAATCAGAACAATCACCAAAGACCTTCAGTTGGCGGAACAGCATAACCTACTGCCTCTGGAAATAAATACTGACTCCGCTGAAACAATTAATATGCTGATTAATGGCAATCTGATATTTGACCCTTTAATTTGTGAATGCAGGTCATTGATCCAAAGGATGGGCAGAGTGGAAGTGAAACATACCTACAGGGAGCAAAATAGGGTAACTGACGTTCTTGCTAAGAAAGCAGCAGAAGAAATTTTTTTGTGTAAATCTCTAATTCTAGCAGTTCCTCCGGTGTTTGTCAATGATGTTTTTTGGGCAGATATCCTAGGAACTGAACTGCCTAGATTATTTTTGGGTTGTAATTTAAGTACTATTATGCAAAATTATGCATCAATGGGGGCACTAAAATACCCCAGTAACTGCCAAAGCTGTGTAAGGTTGGAAACTTTCAGTTAACATATATATATATATATATATATATATATATATATCATCCTTTGCACCAAAAAAAAAATTTAGCAGACAAAGATACAATAACACTCCTCTTCCACCCACCAAAACCAGAACCAGAAAATGGCGTGTGAACTAGAGAGATACCGGGTATATCAAAGGGATGTAGGAACAAAGGACTAGACGAATCAATATAATCAGTACTAGTGCTACCCACGATAAAATCAAGAAACACCACAATTTCTAGCAGATTCCACAATAAACTATACATGTAAACAGAAACTTAGGCTTGAGAGAAGGAATGATGTTACCAATCCCGTCAAAGAGAACTTCAAAATGAGCGCCAATCACGAAACCCTAGCTTCAGAAATACTCCAAAAAACTTAGCTCCAAAATTTAAATCAACAGCAACGGAAACGACAAAAATGAACCAAACTCGTGAAGATACAGAGAAAATACACGGCAAAACAGAAGAATCCACCAAAAAAAAATATTGAAACTCCTTGAGAAACCCTAAGAAACAGAATCTTCGCAAAAACTAACGAGGGTAACATCGGACGATTCAGAATCACACGATCAATCTGGATCCACGCTCCGATACCATGTTAACATGTTAAATCAATCAGAATTTGGGAAGTTTGGGTAGAGTTTCCGGAGGAAAGTTCTAGAGAACAGAAGAGAGGAGAAAATGTTCTGAGATGATAGAACCGACCAGCCCTTACACTCTGGGCATCATTCACTTATATACAAAACATGTAACTAGTCTTTACAATGAGTTCAAGAAGAAAAAATTAGCTAAACTAACAAAATAGGCTAACTATTACAAATGTCAACTAATACAGAAAATAAATACTATGGGCCACTCATGTTTTATGTTATGGGCCACTCATGTTTTATGTTCAGATCGCCCAACAATGACACTTTATTTTCAAAGCTTCAACTGATCATAGAGATATTCCTTAAGGAAATTTTATGTCTTACTATTATGAGAAATTTTCATAAAGCACTATCTTTTAGTGGTAATTAGCTATCTATAGATACTATTTGCTATATTACGGATTGTTAGGGGTGTTCATAAAAACCCGAAAAATCGAACCAAACCGAAAACCGAACCAAACTGACCAAAAGAACCGATACTTTTTAGGTTTGGTTTGGTTTTGGTTTTGAATTTTAAAAACCGATCAAAATTGATTTGGTTTTGGTTTTAATCAAAAAATAACTGAAAAAAACCGAACCAAATCGATTATAAAAATAGCTATTTAAATTTATTATTGAACCTATATATATGTGTGTATATTGATATAAAGTTTCTAAATTTTTATGGTACATATTAGTCATTTGCATTTTTAGTCTAGTTCTTTGCTATTATAATCATCTAATTATTTGCCTTTACATTCTAGTTTGATTGGAAGTTTTCTTTGCTAAGTACAAGAATTTATTTCATGTTAAAAATAATCAATTTTTAATCGAGTACTTAAATTATTCATCACTATTTGATTCAATTATCATCAATAAATCTCGGTAAATGATAGATTTCTCAAAGAGCAATTGATTTGATAGTGTTACGTTGAAAATGTAGTCGCCGGAATATGCGTTTGGTAGTGTATGTCTCATATTTAAGAAAAAAGCTGATAAACAACCGAAAAATCCGAAAAACCGACAAAAACCGAATCGATAAAAACCGACTTAATTAGTTTGGTTTGGTTCTAATATTTGAAAAACCGACTTACTTGGTTTGGTTTCTTTTTAGGAAAAAACCGACCCAAACCGAACCATGAACACCCCTACGGATTGTAGATACGTTTTCTGTTGTTATAAGATGTATTAGATGTATTTAAGCTACTGTATTCATGAATACAGTAGCAAAAATAGGCGTGAATTAGGGAAGTCCAGCTAATCAGTTGTTGTATTCGAGTGTATTCGACTGTATTCATGGCGTGAAACATGGGATTACAGCTGGACATATTATTTTATTCGACTGTATTCACGGCGTGAAACAGAGATTACACTGTTTTTAAACGGAAAGTGAATCAATTAACATAATAGACTCCTACTATAACTCAACAAACTCAATTATAACACACAAATTTTGTATTTCCTTGTATAAAAAAGATTCTCAACCGAAAAATACCCCCAAAACATTGCAATCTTCAGAGAAACTATATAATACATCTGAATACATAAATTATATTAATTAAAAAAAATATATGAATACATTCATGGCATATAGCAAGGCAGTGAATACAATGAAATACATAGAATACAACGGGATACATTGAAATACAATGAAAAAAAGACAGTGAATACAATGAAATATATGGAATATAGCGAGATACATTGAATTACAATAAAAAAGAAGACAATGAATACAATGAAATACATGAAAATACAGCGTGATACGTTGAAAGTACATTGAAATATATTAACAGAAAATCAAGTTGCTCAGCCCCAAACTCCGTCGTCTTTGTTCAAGAACAAACCCTAATTTCCGGCGAATTCGCCGTCGAGCAAAAATCCTGAATCTCACTGTTCCCACGCATCCTGTACAGTAGTCGAGCTATAGGAGGTAAAAATTCCTTAAAAGAAACTAGGCCTTGTGTATTGAAAATAGGTTCTTCCCTGCTATATGTGAACACTGTCGCAAAGCACAACTTAGAAAAGCCATCAAAAGTTACCATTTTCCGCCAAATACAAAGTTCTTTCTCTCATACTATTGAACGAAACCAATCAATACTTTCTCTAGGATCATCCTTTTCAGGATATATAAAAGTTAGTTAGGGTTCCGATAGAGTGAAGGATGGCGGAACCGGCGAGTCCAGGCGGTGGCGGAGGAAGCCATGAGAGTGTCGGCGAGCGGAGCCCTCAGTCGTGTTTCAGGGAATGGGGGAAGAGAATGGCATGTATCAAAGCAGAGAGAGAAAGAAAATAGTGTAACTGCATAGCGTATTTAGTGGCTTAGAGGTAGGGGTGTTCATGGTTCGGTTTGGATCGGTTTTTTTTCTCTAAAAAGAAACCAAATCAAGTAAGTCGATTTTTCAAATATTAGAACCAAACCAAATCAATTAAGTCGATTTTTTCTCGATTCGGTTTATGTCCGGTTTTGTCGAATTTTCGGTTTTTTCGGTTATTTGTCGGTTTTTTCTTAAATATACGACATACACTACCAAACACATATTCTGGAGATCACATTTTCAACGTAACACTATCAAATCAATTGGCCTTTGAGAAATCTATTATTTACCAAGATATATTGATGATAATTGAATCAAATAGTGATGAATAATTTAAGGACTCAATTAAAAATATATTATTTTTAACACGAAATGGATTCTTACACTTAACAAAAGAAAACTACCAGTCAAACTAGAATGTAAAGGTAAAGAACTATACTAAAAGTGCAAACTATTAACATTTACCATAAATTTTTAAACTTTGTATAAAAATATACATATATATAGGTGTAATAATACATTTTAAATAGCTACTCCTATAGTCGGTTTGGTTCGGTTTTTTTTCGGTTTTTTTCTGATTAAAACCAAAACCAAACCAAATTTGATCGGTTTTTAAAATTCAAAACCATAACCAAACCAAACCAAAAAGTATCGGTTTTTTTGGTCGGTTTGATTTGGTTCGGTTTTTCGGGTTTTTATAAACACCCCTACTTAGAGGTAGGAGGTAACCAAAATTAGATATTTTGCTATAAACATTAAAAGATATCTATAGATATAATTTTTTTAAATGATATTTATTTAAAATAAATAAGGTGTTAAACTTTGCAAGTAAAAATTCCTACTTTTATTTAGGGAAAGTTTCATAAATACAAGATCTATAAGAGTTAATTATATTTAAGCAAAAAGGAAAGAAAAATTCCTCGGGCAAACAACTCCAAGAAAGTCCATATTAGAAAGCTTAGGCCCAACATAAAGCCCGTTCAGCTCGATTGACGATGATCTTCCCATTTCCTCTCAGACACAGTTCTTGTCAGTGTCAGCAGATCTTGACTCTAAGTTGACTGTTGTATTATTTGAAAGCTAAAGATCGCAGCTTTCTTCAGTAGAGATCAATAATCAAGGTGACATTGCCACACTTGTTTATATTAAGAAATTCCAACTCAAATGCTTTAGTACTAGTGATTTTGATTTCATCACCAAATTAAATTGAAGCATTCTTCTCTGCATTTTCACTTAGCTGGTACGAGCTTTTCATCATACTTATAAACTTTCCAATGCTAAGTTTCAAGTAATTTCAGGAATACCCAGAAATATTTTTCCTTGTACCTTTGTTTTTGGTACTGTTTTGGCAGAAAATTCTTGATATGATGAAGTAAAATTAACAATATTTCTTATTTAGTTTCTGGGTTTGTTCATGAGAATGATATATCACATAAAAGGAGCAGTCATCTTGGTGCTTGAAATGTTTCTTACAGCTGACTACATTGTACTGCTTGAATTTGGTTCTGCATTTGTTTTTATTGCTCTGTTGATGAATGGTGTTAGTGGGTTTTATTCATGAATAACAAGAATTTTTTTTCCATTTTAGCCTTGTTTCTTGGTAGTGTTTAGTGTAGCATTCTTGATACAGTGAAGCAAACGCAACAAGTTTTATCACTATATTATTAGGTGTTTGTAGGGAAAGATGTGCCACATAAATGGAGCAGTATTTTGCTTGAAATTGTTCTTACAGATTACTACATTGTTCTGCTTGAATTTGGTGCTGCATTTGTTGTTATTGCTATACACTTAATTCGTGTTGTTGTTGGGTTTTCTAGAGTAATGCGACGTCTAATTTGTGCAGGTGTCAGCAATTAAGATGGACGTGCATTTGAAATATGCATTTGGTAGATTTCAAGAGCAATTTGGATCTGGACCTGGACTTGGTCCTGGATCAGGAACCAATCTTATGAAGATAGATGGTATTGCACCGCCTTTCATTAAGTCTGTATACAGAGCTGCTGCAGCTTTGTATAGAACTGATCCTTGGAGGCGGTTGCGCCCAGGTCATCTTTTCGGTGTAAGGGTAGGGAAAGATTCAGATTGGTCTGGCAAAAAACATCCATTTTCTTGTATCCAATTTATTGGTGGAGATGGTGGGGATATAGGTCTTTATATGTTTAGGTCGGAAGATGATGCGAAGAAGATGACTGGTCCTAGGGAGACAATTCGGGTTCCAAATCTTGAGGTTTTGCGGGTCACTTATGACCTGGACTCTGTGATGCTCCCTTCAAATAAGAGATTTGTAGTATCGTTGGCATTGGAGGTCTCAGGTGAAGATCGATATCCAGTGATTGACGTTGGCCGCTGCACAACCACTGGTGAGCTTCAGTTTAGGAATCCAACACTTGAAGAGCTTAGATTTGTGTATGCAGTTATGAAAGGAGCTTCTCTTCTGCACCCTTTGCTTCAGCAAGATTATGGTGCAGCTCCAAAATGGTCTAGAGTGATATATTTCGAACCTTTTATTGAAACTGTTGATGTCCAATGGCCAGCAGAAATGGCCAAAGGAAATGATCTCGTGGCAGTAACAATTTCACACCCTCCTGGTCGAGGATATCAGGAAAAGTATAGCTCGTCATCAAGTTCCACTCCCACCAAACATTCTGAAGCGCAAAAGGAGGAGACATTTATTGATGTGAAATCAAATGCAGCTGTCTGTTTGAGGGAGTGCATGCTGTGTGGGGAAAAGGTCAGCAGAGAACAGTCAGTTTGCTGTGGTCATTGCTCTGCAGTGGTCTATTGCGGTTCCGTCTGCCAGAAGCAGCATTGGAAGGAAGGGCACAAAGATGTTTGCGGGCTTTACAGGGCCATGATGGAAAGAGAAGAAGAGCTGGCAATGAAGATCTTCATCTTTAATTGTTCTGCTGAGCAGCCTTGTAAATGGCTTGAATCACTTGGTATTCACCAGAAAGGCATGTGGAGAAGAAAATGTAATTGTTATTTCCATTGTCCATATGGTCTTCTTCCTGTTCCGGGTGGACTTTGGGATTCATGGGGCGGCTTGGATGAGAATGAATACCCTCATGATTCACCTTTTCATAATCATTTTAGAGATGGGATATCAAGCTCAGTCTTCTTATCTGGTTGGCTAGAGTACTACAGCCTCCGGTCATTACCACTAACGAGTCCCGTTGCAGATATCCTGTCTCATCCCTTGACAATCTATTACATATTGACAGCACCCAACATCAACTCAAAGAATCTGTTACTCAAAAACAAAGAGGTGATACTCCACTACATTGGACCTGAAGGTGAGTTAGATTGGATGCCAGCCTTTGCTGAGATTGGTCATCTACTCCACGGAATGGGCAATATACACATAATAATGGTCGGGCCAGAAGTCCCCACTAATTTATCGGGGACAACTTCTGGAATAGGTAGCAGAGTGAGGGTAAACCTTGTAAGGGGTCTTTACCAGGACGAAGCCAGCTATCTGCCAACTCCTCATGTTATCATGTCTTTGAATTGCGGGTTAGGAAGCTATTCGTGTTGGGGTGGAGCTCTTGACTTGATAAAATCCATGAACGTTCCAGCTTATTTCACCAATGAGTCAGAACTTTCGTGCTCAAGTAGTAAACAAGTTCTTCGCGCTGCAGGGTTACATATTAGCTATCCTGTTACACCAAATCCTTTCCGTTCTCCTGTGAGGATTTTTGGCACTTCCACTAATTTCCCATCATATAGCAATTGTTTTTTGTTAGGAGTAAATACATGAATTAGGATATCCACTAAAGCCATGTTGATGTTGTAATTCCCAAGTCTTGCACACTGTTGTCAATATTCAGCTGTATGTTGATCATCCGAGGGATACTTGTTAAAGAAATGCCTGAAATTGTTTTCAGTCCATATATAGAATCTGGGTTTGTTTCTTTCATCAAGTAATTATTATTTATCAACTTAACTGTTATTTTCTTTTAATGTTCATAGGTCTGATGTATATTATTGATTATATATCTGTAAGACTACCACGGTATATTCTGGAGAAATTTTAGCAGAGACCAAAAAAGGTATGTGATTTCCTTCCATTTCCCCAAGCTTTGGACGATAGAATTACCGGTGCCTAGTGGTGGCAAAATGATTAAAAATAAAACAGTTATTCATTCATATGATCCATTAAAAAATAAGTTGTATAATGAACTTTTTAAAAACATGTCAAATATGGATAAGAACTATATTATCCACTCAGAAAATGGATAACCATAGGATAACTAGTAAAAATTGCACGGGGCGCCCTATTTGGTCGCCCCCATTTAACCTATACCTATTTTTTTTTAAAAGTTTTAACTTGTACCCACTTTTTAAACAACTTAAGCCCCCTTTCTCCTCCTCCTTCTTCTTCTTCTTCTTCTTCTTCTTCTTCTTCTTCTTCTTCTTCTTCTTTCTTCTGCTGCTGTTGGTGCTGCTATGAAACTTCAGTTCATGGGATGATTGCCATAAATATGTTTATTAGATTATTTAAAAATAAATTATAAATAATTACGTAAGTTAGTAGACACTAATTTGTGAATATTTCCACGTACGTAAGTTAGTAGACAATGATAATTATATTCTTTTCACGTTTATTGTTTCCAAAATTTATGATTTAGATACTGTTGACAATATGATTATTTATCTAGTATGATAGAAAGCTTTTTCAAAAACTTCAGCTTATATAGTGTTGAAGTTTTTACAAATGAACTAAATAACTTCTAACATCTTCTGCTGAAGTTTTTGAAAAAGCTTTATGATAAAACTAATGAATCCAGGACAAAAAAACTTCAGCTTTTAGTGCTGAAGTTTTTACAAATGAACTAAATAACTTCAACATCTTCTGCTGAAGTTTTTGAAAAAGCTTATCCAGGACAAAAAATTTATAAATGAACTAAATAACTTCAGCATCTTCTGCTGAAATTTTTGAAAAAGCTTAATGACAAAACTAATGAATCCAGGACAAAAAAACTTCAGCTTATTTAGTGCAATTACAAATAAAAACTTCAGCAAATAGAGAACAAAACTTCAGCTGCTATGCTTAAGTTTAGCAATTACAAACAAAAACTTCAGCAAATAGAGAACAAAACTTCAGCTACTATGCTTAAGTTCAGCAATTACAAACAAAAACTTCAGCACACTTGATTCAGCGCACTTGCTACTTCAGGCCCGTCTACTAGAATGCTGAAGTTTTGTGTGATTGCCTTTGCTACTTCAGCCCCGTATGGTGAAGTTACGCGAAAAAGTGGGTACGCTTGCAATTTTTTTTACAAAGCGGGCACAAGTTAAAACGTGACCCAAAAAGCGGGTATAGATGCAAATGTCATGGATAACTAATCGGTTTAACTTTTACATTTGTAAAGCCTCAAATTGGGGGTTCCTCAAGTTTGGGAGACTAGGAATTCTCCCAAAAGTGATCATATTCAAGGAGTCATGGATAATACGGATATCCATATTATCGGATATCTATATTATCCGCCGGTTAATCCTTTTTATCCGTATTAAATATGGGTCGGTCGAATAATTTATCCGTGTTTTGCACTACTCATTTTTACCCATCCATATCCGATCCAACCCGACTGTTTGCTGCCCTACCGGTGCATGTGCTAGTGGGAGGTAGCAACCTAGCGTTGTTTTGTTTCCACCAATGGTAGTACATTTTATTAGTTGTGTCCTGCTGACCAGCTTTGGAAGTTTTTATTTTGTATTTCTAAAAAGAAGTGCAATCCAACTTGATCAATATCAGGCGGCCGCAACTTGGATCATGCGCATCCCCCACACCTTCAAATTTTCCGAATAGTAAAAAGAAGTGAAGATAAAATAGTAAAAAGCTGTGGACAATTGTTTATAAGATTAATAGATTTAATATATTTATGTAAAAATTGGATATTGAGAATTCGTACGAAGTTTTGAAAATTCTAAGACATTAAGGAACAAACGCTAAAAGGTAAAAATATTTTTAAACTTATTATTGTCCTTCCTCTTATATATAACAATCCAAGTGTTTCTCGTTGAATTTAGCAAAAAATTGACATAATGGAATAAGGATAAACAAGAATATATTGTTGAACTTTAGAGAGATTACAATCACCAACTTGAATAATATAAGGTGAATTTACAATCACTACAAATATAAACGAGAACAACATAGTCCCGCAATATCACTGAATCCGCTGGACTTCTAGCTCTCAGGCCTTAGGAAATCGTTAATTAACATACTACCTTAAGGATTACGAGTTCAGCTGTTAGAATCTATTTTAATTTTTTTTTTTTATCGTTTAGTGGTGGGAGCAATATTCATAATTATAATCCTTCTAAAATTGAGGAAACATTTCCCACTTGTCTAAGTAGTTAATTATTTTATTTGATTCTTCTAAAATTGAGTTGGATTTGTCACTTCACTATTTAATACCCGAAGTCCCAAACTAGTAGCAAGTAGCCAACTCACATGCATCTCTTTGTCCAAGATAGATATATTTGCTTTTTCCCTTCAAAGAATTGAGGAGCCAATCATTTTTTTAATGAAAAAGCCTAATAAGATCACCAATGCCACCAATCTTGGCTAAGCTTATATAAGGTCAATATCAACACTCTTTTCATCCCCTAAAACACAACCAACCTCTCTTGCAGCCACCAAGTTTTCCTCCCAAATCCTCTTCCCTCTCTATTTTCCAAGAACATGGAGTTCTCAACCTTCCACCGCTCTACATGGAATTCTTTCTTCACCTCTCCTCTCCTCTTTCCTTATCATTTCATTCCTGAAAATTATGTTCATTGGAGAGAGACCCCTGAATCTCACATATAATCTGCTGATCTTCCAGGTAAAACAAAAAAAGAATCAAAATAGTTTAAGCATTTAAAATAGACTTTTTTTAACACCCCTTGCTTTATTCTGTATCGGGTATTAATTTTCTTGAGTTTTGAATGGATGTTTTTTTTTTTGGATTAGGTCTGAAGAAAGAGGAAATAAAGGTGGAAGTTGAGGATTCAAGATACCTGATAATAAGAACTGAAGCTGCCAATGAAACCACAGAACCAACAAGGAGTTTCTTGAGGAAATTTCGGCTACCTGGAATGGTGGATATGAATGGAATTTGTGCTAGTTATAGAGATGGTGTTTTGACAATAACAGTTCCAAGAACACTTGTGAGAAGGGGATTTTTCATTGAGCCAGCTGACTTGCCAGAAAGGATGGTGAATCTTGGTGCTAGAGCTGCTTGATATATTTTTTCCAAACAAGATTGGTTAATATTCGTAATACTTAATCTTGTAAACATTGATTGTTTCGGGAGGAATGGTCATGCTCAGGAATAGACAATGATTTGAAGATTGTGCTCTCTTTGAGTATCTGTACATACTATTGTGCTTTCTTTGAGTATCTGTACATACTTTAGATTAATGATAATCCTTAAACTAAATTTGCTGTCGTTCCAAAAACTTTTAAGCTTGTGAATAATAACAAAATTATGGCCTGGAGACTATTTACCCTGCATCACCTAAGGTGCAGAAGATGCTGGGGTTATATCGCTTCTCCTCTTCCATCCCTTCTCCTTTTCATGGTCCATCCTCCCAAAAGAATATTAAAATTGAGGAGTATTAAAACTGAATCTTATGAATGATCTCCAAGGAAAACCTGGGGATGATAGTTTCAGAATATAATGCACCATTGGAAGTTGAATTTAGTTAATTAAGAAGGTATATAGTGGTGTCCCATTTCAATTTGTAATTGCAGAAAGCAGAGAACATAGAAAGATGCGAAATATTTTCATCTTTTCCAAGGGAGCAGAACTTGTGACACTAAGGGACAGCTCGGTGCACTAAGCTCCCGCACGAGGTTCGGGAAAGAGTCAGACCATAAGGGTCGATTATATCCGGACTTGCCCTGCATTTAAGAACTTGTGACACATTGGTGTAGATTCTAACATTTCTACCTTTGACAGTAGGTTTTGCTGGTGGATATTTTTGGGCCATGGAATCTGAATCTCCTTTGATGCACTTCGGAAAAGATAAAGGTTGGGACGGCAGCCACAGGGTGGGCCCTCTAGTCCCCTTTACTTTGCGTCTACTTTAACCTACTTTAGTTAAGTGAATTGCGACTTGCCCCTGCCAAATTGATTTAAAAATCACAACTTGGATATTTAACAATTAATTACGTATGATTTTCAGCAAAAGGCTGCAATTTGCAGAAGCCACATACAGGAGTATGATAAATGCATTAAAAAATATCTTATCCATATTTAATGCGACCCCACAGGGAAATTGACCAATTTAGGGGTCGTTTGGTTTGAATACGGGTTATGCTGGGATTAATTATTCTGATATTTTTTTTATCCACTGTCTAGTATGTTGTATTAAAAATGACATTTGTATAATTTCTAAGAAGAAGGTATAAGTTATCCCGGCACTAATTACCCCACCTCCTACAAAGTATAAGTTATCCCGGTACTATTTTTAATCCCGGGATAACTTATACCAGATTTGCTAACCAAACAAAGTATTAAGGTGATATTAAATTTTTATACCAGCACTATATCTACTTATACCTCATAACAAACAACCCCTTAGTGGATCCAAAGTCGATAATTAATAATTTACCATCCTCGGATTATTAACATAGGAAAATTTCACATGAATTCAGAATCAGAAAGAATTAGAATAGACCATTACATTTAATATTTCAGAAACAATGAACTTTCCGCCCAAGCATGTCACTTGCATTAAATTGTTCGTTAGGGAAAAAAAATCTTGCTAAATCTTTTATGATGATTTAGAAGTATTGACATTACGGTTGGACGAGGTGGTGCGTAATATCCCGCACAGCGAGAAGCTATTCATTGGCGGAGATTTTAATGGCCATATTGGGGTTAATGCTAGGGGTTATGATGATGTGCATAGCGGGTCCAATTTTGGGGATAGGAACGAGGGAGGTACTTCACTGTTGGAATTTGCTAGAGCTTTTCATTTGGTTATTGCCAACTCGAGTTTTCCGAAGAGGGGGAGCACCTGGTCACATTCCAGAATTCGATGGCCAAGACTCAGATTGATTACCTTCTCTGCAGGAAATGTGATAAAGGTATATGTACTGATTGCAAGGTCATCCCTGGTGAGCACCTCACGACCCAGCATAGGCTCCTAGTAATGGACCTGGAGATCAAGAGGAGTAGGAGGAAAAAGGCGGCGTGCAGGCAACATAAGATCAAGTGGGGTAACTTGACCAAGGACAAAGCTCAGAATTGGGGGAGAAGTTGCTGGCTATGAGGGCCTGGAGGAGTAGGGGGACGCGACTAGTATGTGGATCACGACTGCGAGCTGCATTAGGGAAGCTGCTAGACAGGTCTTAGGGGTCACGAAAGGCTTTTCTGGGGGTCATAAAGGTGACTGGTGGTTGAATAGAGAGGTCCAAGGTAAAAGTGTAAGATAAGAAAGCTGCTTATTTGAAGCTTGTGGAGAGTATATACGAGGAAAGAAGGACTTATCGGGAGTGTTACAAAAAGGCAAAGAAAGAGGCAAAGTTAGCAGTTACGACAGCAAAGAATGCGACATTTGGTTGTTTGTACGAGGAGCTCGGGGCCAAAGGTGGGGACAAGAAGTTGTACCAGTTGGCCAAGGTAAGGGAGAGGAAGACCCGTGACATAGACCAAGTCAAGTGCATCAAGGACGAGGATGGCATAGTATTGATGGACGAGGCATTTATTAGAAGAAGATGACAGACATAACTTCCATAAACTGTTGAACTAGGAGGGAGATATAAGCATTGTGCTAGGTGAGTTGGAGCACTCCGAGAGCCGGCAGGATTTTGGATTTTGTAGGCATATTAAGGTAGAGGAGGTGGAAAGGGCGATGCGTTAGATGTGTAGGGGCAGAGCGACAGGCCCAGACGAAATTCCAGTGGAATTTTAGAAGAGTGCGGGGCGAGCAGGCTTGGAGTGGCTCACTGGGCTGTTTAATATTATTTTCAGGACAAAGAAGATAAGCGAAGAATGGAGGTGGAGTACGATGGTTCCGTTGTACAAAAACAAGGGTGATATCCAAAACTGCAACTATAGGGATAAAAAGCTATTGAGTCATACTATGAAGGTTTGAGAGAGGGTGATGGAGGCCAGAGTGAGGAGGTGCGTGTCTATTTTCGAGAACCAGTTTGGATTCATGCCAGGGCATTCGACTACGGAAGCGATTCATTTGGTGAGGAGATTAGTGGAGCAGTATAGGGAAAGGAAGAAGGACTTGCATATGGTGTTTATTGACCTTGAGAAAGCGTATGATAAAGTTACGAGGGAGGTTCTGTGGAGGTGTTTGGAGGCTAGCGGTATTCCAGAAGCGTACACTAGGGTGATTAAGGATGTGTATGATAGTGCTAAGACTCGAGTGAGGACTGTGGGAGGTGACTCGGAGCATTTTCCTGTTGTGATTGGGTTGCATCAGGGATCGGCTCTTAGCCCGTTTTTATTTGCCTTGACCAGTGTTATAAAAAGTGTGCGCTTCTCACTTAAAGAGCAGAAGCAACGCGAGGCGACGACATAGCGCTTTTCTGCCCTAAAAAGCGACTCACATCAAAAAGCGTTCGCTTTACCCTAAAAAGCGAGAAGCGAGGCGATGTGAAAAGCGCAAAAGAGCGCTTAAGCGAGGGTAAGGCATCTGCTAGGGTTTTTTAGAAAAAACTTCACAAATACACTTACTAAATACACTTACGCAAACACTCTGCTGCAAGCGACGACGGGTAAGTTTCTTCTTCTCTTCCTCTTCTGATTTTCTTCAGTTCACTGTCGAGTTCGACTCCTTTTTCTCTTCTTCTTTCTATTTTTTTCAGTTTGTATTGCTCTGTTCTTCTGCCCTCATTTTGTGCTCTGTTCTTCTGTTCGACCACACTGTTTTTCTCTTCTTCTTTTTATTTTTTTCCAGTTTTTATTGCTCTGTTCTTCTGTTCGACTACACTATTTTTTCAGTTTTTGTTGCTCTGTTTTTCTGTTCTTTCACTGTTTCTGATTCGACTCCTAACTGTTCTGTTTTTTTTTTTTTGGTTGTTGATTGTAGTAAATTCAATCTTATTATTCAATGGCATCAAGCCAAAAAAGAGATCCAGCTTGGGCGTATCTAGTTTTAGTATCTATTATTTACTTCTTGATTTAAGAATTGAAACATTTGCTTAATATGTTATTTTTATTGAGTTCTTGGTCATTTATCTATGCCTATTTAATTTTTTTTATTTATGTGTTAAATTGCGCTTCACATGAAAAAAGCGCTTCGCTTCGCGCTTCTCGCTTCGGTGAAGCGAGGCCTCCTCGCTTTTTTCCGCTTCTCGCTCTCCAAAACACTGGCGTTAGCAATGGATGTGCTGTCGCGACACATCCAAGGGGAGGTGCCTTAGTGCATGCTATTTTTCGATGATATAGTGTTGATTGACGAGACGCGAGACGGAGTTAACGCGAGGCTGGAGGTTTGGAGACAAGCCTTGGAGTCTAAAGGTTTCAAGTTGAGCAGAACCAGAACAGAATACTTGGAGTGCAAATTTGGGAACAAAGCTTGATGCTCAAGTTATCCTTAAGAGAACAAGTTTCAAGTATCTCGGGTCTATTATCCAAGGTAACGGGGAGATTAACAAAGACGTCACACATTGCATCGGAGCAGGATGGATGAAATGGAGGCTCGCTTCTGGTATTTTATGTGATAAGAATGTGCCGCCAAGACTTAAGAGTAAGTTTTATAGAGTAGTGGTTCGACCGGCTATGCTGTAGGGGACTGAGTGTTGGCCAGTTAAGAACTCCCATGTGCAGAAAATAAAAGTAGCAGAAATGAGAATGTTGAGATGGATGTATGGGTGTACCAGGAGAGATAAGATTATGAATGAAGCTATCCGAGACAAAGTGGGAGTAGCCTCCGTGGAGGGCGAGATGCTGGAGTCGAGGCTAAGATGGTTCGGATATGTTAAGAGGAGAAGCATTGGAGCTCCCGTTAAGAGGTTGGCCATGGCGAGTTTGAGAAGAGGTCGAGGTAGGCCTAAGAAGTGTTGGGAAGAGGTGATTAGGCAGGACATGGCCCTGCTTCAGCTCACTGAGGACATGACTCTTGATAGTAGGGTGTGAAAGTTAGTAGGTAGTTGGGAGTTTCTTAGTTGCTCACCGATAGTCTTAGTAACATGCATGTCCTTTAGTATTCTCATATCTTAATTGTATTATGTGGTTTTGTTTGCCTCAGGTATTATATTCTCTATTGTTATTATTTGGTACTACTTATCTCTCCCTCTTTTTCTTCTCTCTTCCTTTACTGCTTTCCTTCTTTTTCTTCTTCTTCCTCTTCGTCTCCTTCTTCTTCTTCCCGAGCCGAGGGTCTATTGGAAACAACCTCTCTACCTTCATTAGGTAGGAGTAAGGTCTGCGTACAGACTACCTTCCCCAGACCTCATCTGTTGGGAATATACTGGGTATGTTGTTGTTGTTGTTGACATTACGGTTGGATTTAATTTCACTAAGTGTAAAGAATTTATACTATTAGTGTAATTTTAACATGTTGTAGCACATAATCTGAGTTACCTGATAAAAATTCTATCATAATGTTTGTATGGAGATTTAACATGTTGTAGCACATAACCTGAGTTACCTTACCTGATATTGTAAAAATTCTATCATAATGTCTGTATGGTGATTAAACTCAGCAACCTAATACTAACAGCAACCTCACATATCACAGCCAAGAGTCCATAATGGACTAACTAAAAGTTAGATTAAGGATGGTGTTGGAGAATGAGAAGTATTCAGTGAAGTTATCTTCACAATTCACTAACTGAACTGCAAGGAAAGTTTCTATTCCATCTTGCTAAACATGATGTACTAAATGCATATATAACAATATCAACAAAGACAAAGACTCCTATCCAACTAGTAAGAAAATTCTTACACCTTGTAAGAGAGTCGTCTAGTTGGATTTCCGAGGGACACTTTAATCAATTCCAATATCTCAACAGCTTCTCTCAATCTTTTGTCCAGCTCTTTCCTTGCATGTGGCTGTGGAGTCCTGGACCTGCGTAAATTAGGTTCAATCTTAGACAATAAATCTACCACAACTAAACTGTTCTATGGAGAAGAAGATTAAGCAACTGGGGTTGGTATACTGAAGAGCAGACCACTTGTCGGGTTTTGCTTTCCGTGAAAGTTCTTCTACATGATCGCGTAGTCTCCTCAAAAGAGCAGGCAACTTGTGCACAGCTTCAACACCTGTTTTCTCTGTGAATATCTTCTTCAAAAGGTCTGACGCAATGAAATATCCCTCTTCTTTATTTCTGCACAAGCATTTTGCAAAGCTTCATATAAAGCTTATGCCACCAGAAGTACATTAGGAACTTGATTTTAATGCTCAATTTCAATAGCATACCTTAAAAACTCCCGCAAGATTGTTTCCACTGATCCACAGCTATCAATTATTACATTAATCAAGTGTGGATATCGGGAAAGGTTTCTGAGAGTGGAGAGTGCATGTTTTGTAACTTCTTGATCAGGTAGGCTCCGGCTGAGAGAGCTGATCAGCTTTAACAATGTACCAACAGCACCCGCAGCAACAAGTTCTTCACAACATTTTTGTGAATGTTGTGTTGCCATATCTATCAAAGGAAAAGAAAAAGAGGATATTATTTCTTTATGATCCCTAGGTGAACTATCTTGACTGAACTCATCACTCATGAGAATCTAGACATGCACCCTTCTACGCACTGTTAAGTGAGTGGACATTGAAAACAAGAAACAATCAAAGACATATCTGTCCCAGATGCACATAACACTTACTCAGAGTTGCACAGATACGAAGAATGTCGCTGACACTTCTCATATTCAGAAGTTCTGACAGTGCTGCAACAAGCCTGTTTATTATGCGCATACCATCATCAACATTTGCAGCAGATTTTTGTACTCTCAGACGCAAATCAAGAAGCTGCCCTCTTAAGTCTTTTCTTGCAAGGTAACCTTTCATGTATGCCTGAGTGAAAAATGACGCATGAGTTAAGAAAGTTCAAGAAGAATGAAGATACTGTTGATTCAACTACAAAAACAAATTTGGAAATAGTTGGAATGTATACAAGAAAATTATTCAAGAAGAAGATTGCCAGCAGACATCCTACAGTATACAATAAGTACAAGCTTAATCGTGTGAAACTGAGCTTCATTCAATGCGGCTAGAAAGCATAACGGCTTGGACATATATTGCAATGATAGTGAAAAAGGACACATACAGTTGAGATAGTATACCCAGTGTGCATTTATTCCCATATGTAACATAGTGATTCAAAGCATATATAAGCTATCTATTATATTTGACAGTACTATATGAACATATTCTATTTCTTCAGCCAAGAATCTTTTCTTTCTCATCTTCTCACCTTCATATATTCCCCAATTGCTTTCCTCATAGCTAATTCGCAGAAAAATCACCATAAGGTCATAACAAGAACTTTACCTTTCAAGAATTATACGCTGCTTCAATCCACTACACCCATTCTATCTGGTGATACAAATACTTTGAAACATACACATAATTTAGCAATGCCTATACTGCAAAGATGTTTTCTGATATTGAGCTGAACCATATTTCACTCAAGTAAGGACCCCTCTTTCCAGTGCTGGAAGATTCAGACAACAACAACCACATGATTCCAGAGATTTTAAAGATTGTTACTTGACTTGCTCTGGGCCATTCCTGCTATATTAAATAGAACTACTTGCTAATACATTTTTAAGCATTATTGTTCAGCTTTTCTCCATGAACTAAATCAAGTTTCCAGATGATCTGAAAGCACAAAATCGAGAAAAAAATATCTTAGATACATGTGATCAACTACAAAGGGAGATTAGAAATGAATTATTGGATGCAAAGGCCATACGCACTGTCGACTATGTTTCAGATGTGAGCGAAAATATTACAATCTACAGCGCAGGAAGATATAAATAGTGAAAGAGAAGGAGAAGTAGTCCTTGCTAATCTTCAAAATGTGACAAGAAAAGTTGGAAGTGAAAAATAATTACCCAGCCATAGTCAAAGGAAATAAACAACGCAGAAGTACCATTTTTTTGCAATAAAGAACTATAAAATACATGTGAACTTCAGAAGTTGCCTCAAGCATGTTAAGGAGGTCAGCGCGGTAAGCAAGATCTACGACTTACTTGGATCACAATAATTCGGTGCTTGTTTCTTGAAGCACTTCGCCGGGCTGTCCATCCTCGGACATGCGATTGGATGACAAGTGCTGCTTTTGTTCTCTGTTCATGAAGAAGTTTACCTCTCCACCACCTTTGCAACTTTAATACTGCTTGCAATAGTATTTTAAGTGCAAGAGTTTGGTAACCCAATTTTGAGATATTACTGTAGCAAGAGGCCCCTGGAATACCATGCATTAAGTTGATTATAGACAGGAATAAGAAAAGTCAACAATGAAACTTGTGATTGAAAATAAAGGTACCTAGGAGACTCTTTCTAGTAATGGCTCCTCTTGCAAACCGTTGTATTTCCAAAGTAGCATGCCTTTGGCGAAGGAATGCTTTCCGGTAATTCATGCTCCGAATTGCAGTTTGAATCTTTATAACAGCCTCTTTTTCAATGAGCAGCCTTTTCCTTGTTAACCAGCCACGACAATGGCTCTGGCACAACAAAAAATTATTAAACACTTGGAACAGTCAAGTCCTTTGAGAAAAGTAGTGTATTAGTCCATATCATGATAAAGTTGCATGAGCTGCTATATGAAATCCTTGTTAGAGTAGATAATGTAGGGGTAACATAACGGTTACAGAAGCCAGATATGACGCAACAATTGACTGGCTGCAAATATCTATACTATATTAAAAGCACGAAGGCCCTTAGCGAAATGTCGTTCGTCTTTTTTACCCTTTTGAATTAGAGTTCACACTTAACAAAATGGTCATTTAATTACTTTTCTAATATTTAGGAGTTTGAAATTAAGTAAAATTATGATTATTAGATCTTTCCTATTTAGTTTGTGTAGAAAGTCCGATTATTTATGACTTTAATGATCATTAAGTTTTTACCTTATATAATTATTTATTGGATCTACATAACATGCCTACAATACCTTTTATGTTAATATGGTCTAATATTTATATTATATTAGTTCTAACATAAATAAAGAGACTGACCAGAACAAAACTAACCCTACTAAGTAGTCTAACCCAAATTTAAAAAAGAATAGAATGCAGCGAACTTCAGTTTTAGAATTCTTTTTTAATTGTTGTCAAATTACAAGTGGTGGAATTTTGAGTTTGAACAAATCCCACGTGATTTATTGAATACTCATTTAATTCTTTTTCAAGTATTAAAAAATTTTAACTATAAATTCTTTACTTATTTACACTATGTAGCAGCTTAGCATTTACAAAGATCGATTACGATTTCACCTACACAAATTATTATTAATAGGACTAAAATATATGAATAATTACTAATAGGCCTAATATACATACATCATATAGTATCTATATCTACCTATATCTATCTACACTATTAAAAGTACAAAGGCCCTTATCGAAATATTATTCAACTTTTTTGCGATTCAAAAACATATTTCACACTAGATAAAATAATATTTAATTATTTTTAAAATTTTTAATACTCTAAAATCAACTGCATTTTATTTATTAAACTCTTCTTTATTTGAAGTAAGAAGCCATAGTATTTAAAGTTTTAAACTCAATTCAAATATACCACTTCGATTGGACTAAACACAAAAAAGAATATTAACGTTAGGGTACTTAGCTTACATATATAAACCAAATTGAACGATGGATAGTCACTAGATAATATTTAATACTTATCTATGAGGGTGTTTGGCTAAGCTTATAAGCTGGTCAAACTGGCTTATAAGCACTTTTTGGCTTATCTACGCGTTTGGCAAAATTAAAAGTGCTTATAAGCCAAAAATAAGCCAAAAGCCATAAGTTGGTCTCCCCCAACTTATCAAATTTCAGCTTATAAGCAGTTTAAGTTTGACCAAAATATCTACTATTCTATCCCTAAAATACTTCTTTTTAAAACAAAACTCTTCGTATACCCGGTTCTTTAGCTGCATATTATTAATTTCAGCACTTTTATCCAAACACGTAACTGCTTATTTTTTAAATCAGCTTCAGCACTTAAAAGTGCTTTTCAGCACCTAATGCTTATCAGCTACTCTAAATCAGCTAAGCCAAACGGGCTCTATATCTATACTATATTAAAAATATGAAGACCCTTAGCGAAATATCGTTCACCTTTTTTACCTTTTGAAAATAAACTTTACATTAGATAAAATTGTAATTTAGTTATTATCCTAATATATAAGACTTTAAAATTAATTAATTTTTTTATTAAATCTTTCCTTATTTGAATTATGTAAGAAGTCCCAATATTAAGGACTTTAAAGTAGGTATTTTTTACGGAAATAGAAGTAATATTATGTTTCTTTTCCTCGTGTACCCGACGACAATTTCAAATAGAAATATGTTTCACATTCATTCTTCTTACATTGGGAACTTATAATTCTAATAAGATATACTACTAAAAGTAAGAGATATGGTACCTAACTAATTATATATTTTAATTATTAAATATAGTTTTTAAATATTACACAAATTTGACAAAGAAAATAATATATTGTTCGAATAGGAAAAAAGTTCAAAATAATTTGTATCTTCTATCATTTACACGTGTACCTATATCAATAATAATTTTTAAAAATTATGTAAATATTATTAAATGATATGTTTGAGTTATTGAATAAATATTAAAAAATATAGTTCGCAAAAATAATGAATATTAATCTCACTGAGCTAGCTCAATAAAATTATTGACAAAGCTAGCGTAGTGAGATTAACATTCGTTATTTTTAGGAACTTATATTTTTTTTAATATTTATTCAATAACTCAAACACAATATTTAATAATATTTATGTAATTTTTAAAAATTATATATTTACTGATATAGGTACACGCGCAAAGCGCGTACCGTGAGACTAGTGGAAGTAAAAGCGGCAAATGTCATTGCCAAGTGAAAGTGCCAAAAAATAAACAACACAGAAGTACCATTTTTTGCAATAAAGAACTATAAAATACATGTGAACTTCAGAAGTTGCCTCAAGCATGCTAAGGAAGCACGGCGCGGTAAGCAAGATCTACGACTTACTTGGATCACAATAATTTGGTGCTTGTTTCTTGAAGCACTTTGCCGGGCTGTCCATCCTCGGACATGCGATTGGATGACAAGTGCTGCTTTTGTTCTCTGTTCATGAAGAAGTTTACCTCTCCACCACCTTTGCAACTTTAATACTGCTTGCAATAGTATTTTAAGTGCAAGAGTTTGGTCACCCAATTTTGAGATATTACTGTAGCAAGAGGCCCCTGGAATACCATGCATTAAGTTGATTATAGGCAGTAATAGGAAACGTCAACAATGAAACTTGTGATTGAAAATAAAGGTACCTAGGAGACTCTTTCTAGTAATGGCTCCTCTTGCAAATCGTTGTATTTCCAGAGTAGCGTGCCTTTGGCGAAGGAATGCTTTCCGGTATTTCATGCTCCGAATTGCAGTTTGAATCTTTATAACAGCCTCTTTTTCAATGAGCAGCCTTTTCCTTGTTAACCAGCCACGACAATGGCTCTGGCACAACAAAAAATTATTAAACACTTGGAACAGTCAAGTCCTTTGAGAAAAGTATTTTATTAGTCCATATCATGACAAAGTTGCATGAGCTGCTATATGAAATCCTTGTTAGAGTAGTTAATGTAGGGGTAACATGACGGTTACAGAAGCCAGAAATGACGCAACAATTGACTGGATGCAAAATATGGAAGTAAAAGCGGCAAATGTCATTGCCAAGTGAAAGTGCCAAAACAAAGTATTGCACTTACAACAATTTTGCTAAATTAAGGCAACAATGTTTAGAAATACAAACGCATTTATATACACTTGAACTTGTTAGATAAACTTGTAATGCTTCTGGTTCGTCTATCTACGTTTCTCCTCATGCTAACTGGTGCAAACACGCTGTTTAAGACTGAAAAAAATCTAAGCCTGTACCGTAGGCTAATGATTCAAGGTACAATCTGCTCATGAAAGGAAATGACCTATGTTAGAATAGTCGTGTAAATAGGAGTAAATAACTCTAACCCTAATCCAATATGTATTAGGAGTAGGATATGTTATGTGTGTATATATAGGGCTCATTGTAGCATTGTCAATTAATCAATAATAATATTTTTCTCCCGTGCATTCTCACATGGTATCAGAGCATTAGTGAGAAACATATCGCTGTGCATCATTCCAGCGACTTCCGGGAAGAAAGACCTCGTCGCCGTGCAATTTTCTGGCGACTTAGAAGGCTGCCCGTAATCAAGTCACTTTCTATCGGTGTTGTGCAAAAAAAAACCAACACCACCACGAGGTAGATCACTCGTCGGCGACAACCCTTCAAAATTTCTCCGGCAGAAAAGCTGCCACGCGCCCACACGCGCCGGCAGAAGAATTTTTCCGGCGAGCGCGTGACATACGATTAATAAGATAACAAGATGTAAGAACCGCATCCCCCCAAAAACGCAGCGGAACATGAGATTGTATGAGTAGGGTACGAGCAGTTTCAATAAGATGCCTATTCTTTCTTTCAGCTACCCCATTTTGTTGGGATGTGTACGGACAAGATGTTTGATGAATAATCCCATGGGAGTTCATAAACTGCTGAAATGGGGAAGACAAATACTCTAGGGCATTATCACTACGAAATGTGCGGATAGAAACCCCAAATTGATTTTGAATTTCAGCATGGAAGGTCTGAAAAATAGAAAACAACTCAGATCGATTTTTCATTAAAAATATCCAAGTGCACCTGGAATAATCATCAATGAAACTGATAAAGTAGCGAAATCCTAAGGTAGAGCTAACCCGACTAGCGACTAGGACCCCAAACATCTGAAGGACTAAAGTAAAAATGGTGACTCTGCTCGATTTCAAGGACGGCGCCGCGGGAAAATGGGAGCGGGTATGCTCTTACCTGAGTGACAACGACCTCATATCCTAGAGTGGACAAAATTGAGAATAACCAGGTACCATTTTCTGAAGTTTGTTTGATAAACTGGGATTGTCCTAACCGTTTATGTAATAAAAATCTGGTGAATCTAGTAACGCGGTTAAGAAATAATTTAAAAAATGGAGGAAGACACAGAATAGCGTAGTCCATGTGATTTTGCCAAGGGATAAGTAAATGACAAGTTACATCTAGATGTCACGTCCGAGTACCAATATCCGCCCTGTACTGTTGCGGACTTGGTCTTCCTCTTAAAGTCAACCGATTGCACTATCGAAAGAGGTTTAATACATAGTCCACAGTTAATCATCCTACTCTCATTAATTTATCGGGTAAGTTTACCTATGCGTTCTCTCACCACACCACCATTGTGCATTGGTGTCCTAGTCTTTGTCCTCTGTATTCATTACTATCTACATGCTCGTAAAAGCACTATTATAATCTGGATAGGCTGACAGAGCTACCATTGCGGATGACCATTTGCAGCTTAGCAGCAGCTGGTACTATGGGACGGCTTTGGTTTCCTCTTACCCTTCAATTAACCATTTCAGACTGTTGGTATATCGTTTGGGTTGTATGCGCAGTCAAAGTTGGTTCACAGAGTGGACCCACGTGATTCGACTTTAAGCGCTAGTCTTGTTGCCCCTTAAAAGGATTATACTCAGGATTATTTGAGATCTACAGATTAACATATATGATACTTTCTCATCACCGTGATGCTAAAATAGTGCTATCGAGTTCCTCGTATTGTTGCTATCCATGGCTGCTGTTCCGCCATTGGCCTCTCTATCAGTTGGACATTTAAGAATGCTTTTTCTTCACGGTGACCTTGAGGATATGGTTTACCTGCATGGAGCAACACTTTTATTCAATCTAAGCCCAGATCTGTGGTTGCTGTTATGTTAGGAGTCTAAGTGCCTGTTATGTCGGGCTATTAGCGCCGGTCCGGATCTATGTGTCTTAGAAACATCTGGCGCACTCGAGGCTCCTGGGTATTGCGGTAAGAGTAGTCAGCACAGTTATTCAGAGAGTTTGGCATGACTTGTAGTGAAGCTGATCACTCTGTATTTTATCGACATTCTGCTTCAAATCTCTTGTTTTTATCTGGTCGTTTATATGTTTTGAGCGATATTTGTTATTAGCTTTTTGCTTTGGGAACCTGGCGATGATTACGCACGGATGGTATTAGTCAGTTGCTATAGGCGATCACATCTTTTCTGTTTCAGCACTTGTCAGACTTAAGGATCTGGGCATCTTAAAATGAATTTTCTCTATGGCGTATGAATTGCTATGAGCTGTTTTCGCTCGAGTTCTACTCAGGTTTGTGGGGATACTCACAACGGGAAGTATGCCCTTAGATATTCTGAGGATGACGGCAATGACAGGTTGTGAGACCTGTTGACACTCCAGATTTGGCCAGGAATGGGATGGTCGCACTTTAATAAGAGGAAGATTCACTAGACTTCTCCATGGACAGGGAAGGAAGCCTCTTAGCATCCTGCAAGATATAGGGTTCGTGTGGTTGGTCAAAACTAAATATAACTCACACTGTACTAGACTGATATTTCCTTTCCATTGAGTGTTTGTGAGTCAGTTTGATTGGATTCTCCCTGTGATATCATTGGGATTGCAGTTTCCGCATTCTTCGGTATATAAATCAGCTCCAGTCAAAGGCTTATTGTTTGAAGCGAGGCCAAGAGCAGGATGTTGATTACTCAGATGCTGATTGGGCAGGATCCCTTCTGATATACGTTCTACGTCTGGATATTGTGTCTTAGTAGGAGGGAAATTTGGTGTCTTGGAAGAGCAAGAAACAGAATTTGGTTGCTCGGTCTAGTTGCAGAAGCAGAATATCGAGCAATGCTTGGCCACATGTGAGCTAATTTTGGAATAAAACATGTTGCTCAAGGAGTTGAAATTTGGTGAGATTAGTATCAAGATGGACTTGTTGTTGTGATAATCAAGCTGCTCTTAATATTGCGTCAAAAAAAATTTTTTTTCCAGTTTCCATGAGAGAACTAAACACATTGAGATTGACTGTCCTTTGTTAGAGAAAAAATACTCTTGCGGAGATATTGCTACAAAGTTTGTGAAGTCGAATGATCAGCTCTGCAGATATTTTCACCAAGTCCCTCACTGGTCCTCGTAATTAACTACTATGTAACAAGTTGGCTACATTATATTTATATTTGCACCAGTGAGGGGGAGTGTAGTAATAGTCGTGTAAATAGGAGTACATAACTCTAACCCTAAATCCAATATGTTATTAGGAGTAAGATATGTTATGTTGTAATATATAGGGCTCATTGTAGCATTGTCAATTAATCAATATAATATTTTCTCCCGTGCATTTCTCACAACCAAATTTGCGGTTTGGACTTTGTGTCACATAAACATTATGGAAACCATGTACCTTATGTGACTCATGATTCTGAAGGTTGGCAGGATTACAATAACAGAAAAAATAATGCAAATGCATGAAAAAAGAAGTTACACAATCTAAGTCCTTTGGACTAGACGTTGACCTTACGAGGATGTACTTTCAATGAGTTTACTAATAATCCTGGGTACAAATAAAAGGTGTAGTTAGTTACAAATATTATGGCAGGTCATTATCGAGTGATCTCAGGAAGTAAATTTAAAAATGAATCAATATACGCTCAAATATTTAATATTTCAAGAAAAAAATTACCTGAATCATATGATTTGAGATTTACCGGCCTTAAACTTCTCTTTGAGCAATCCGTTTTGCGGACATAACTGGATTTAATTGCTGAAAAGCTTCCTGTTTATAGCAATGAAATCCCTCAAACATTCTTGCAAGATTGAAAATGCTCTGGTATTTTTGTTTGGTGCTGCTTCTGATCCACAATTTTTTCTCATCAACCATTTCCATGATAGTAACTATTGAATTTTAGTTGCTGCAAAGTGTTGACTGTGTAGAGCTGCTTAATGTATATTTCCTTGAAGCCATGTTGGGATTGCTACTGCTGCATTTATATTCTCTTCACGTTTCCTTAGAGGAACTATGGGAGATTGGGTCCGTGCTTACAAGGAAGACCATTACTATCCACCACGAATTAACACTTTTTGTATGACAATGGCAGCATCAATGAGAGTTTTGAGGGACAAATCTTGCAGTGATGCATCTCCAGTCAACATGTCTCGGGAAAATCCAGTCTTTGTGGCACGCTGGATGATTCTTACAGATCTTTCTCAACTTAAGAAAGGCATGTTCTATCGCACAAAGGGGCAGCGTGTTTTTCCAAATTTTCTGGAAACAATTCTTTGACCTGTTCATTTGTAGGCAATACACTAAAATGATTTAAAGTTTTAACAGCTAGTAATGGATGCAAAAGGAAGGGAAAAAGTAAGCATTTATACCACATAGTGATGCCAGATATGTCTGTGAACCAAAGAAACTGAATTGATGGTTCCTTCTTTACCCTCAGCCATGCTTGTACTGCAGCTTGCAAAGATACAGACTTGCATTCCTAATCTCAAATATTTGCCGACGCTTGCACTGACTGTCATGAAATGAGACTGTAATTAACTTTTGCTGCATTTTCTGAAAAAATGGACAAAACATTCTTTTCAGCTGGCTTGAGAGCTGGTAAAACTATACCTGAAGCATTTCAAATTTTCATCTTTTCAGATGACAAGCATAGAATTGGAGTAGTAGGGGCGAGATACCCACATTGAATTTTATACAAGAAGATAAGGTATTCGGAGAGAATATTGACATGTTCATGATAATGGTTACAGAAAATATTTTACACAACCAAGTACGTAATTGTTTGGTGTAGAAGTTGCTAGTCGTTCCAAGATCTATAACACCCCCCAAATGCAAACAGCATTTAAACAGACCAGAATAGCTTGAAGTGCCAAAATCTAAGAGTATCATGATGGATTACCTTTTTGAGTATCATCTGCTCCTTTTACTAGTAAAAAGACCACTTTGGACTTGTAGAAGTTTCCTTAGAAGTCATTTGTTATTTTGTTGAGCCATCTCTTTCCACCAAGCCATTACACTTTAAAATTTCTGGCAACATCTGTATTATCAAAAAGGTCATAAGACCGTGAAATTAAATTAGTACAAAAGGCTGTCGATGACATGGATTATGGACTATTTTCAAAGGAGAGAAGCCTTTATGCAGAGAAAGATTACCTCTACTGAAATTATTTCCGTAAAGAAATGGGAACCTTTTTCATAAAATTTGCATTCTGGAAAAAGAAAATTAAACTGAAATACTTTATTCTAAACCAACTTTAAGGAAAATCTTGTAGTATGACAACTTCACGTTCTACGCAACGTTTTCTGCTGCATTGGTTGTCACAGTCAAATTATGTTCGCTGTAGTTATATAAACAGACCTTACAGGGTTCACTACCATTTGGTTTAATGGAATTTTCTGATTGATGGTTGTTACCCAAAACTTTTATTCCTGTAGTTATATTTAAACAGCTGATGAATTGTTTCAAGTCTTCCATTGGCCAAACAAAAATTCAAAATTAATAAACAATTAAAATTTCTTTAAAAACAAGAATCCTTCAAAGAACATCAGGACACCTTTGTCAATCATTTTGTTCTGGGGGTTACAGCTGTCAGGATGCATAACACTGTCCGTGCTTAGCCGTCTCCTTTCAGGACTTTGACAATTAAATCCCAATAACTTGTGGAAATTCAATTGATCCTGTAAAAGACGCAACAGTCATCAGTTTCCAAATTAAGACTGACACTGTGAGTTGCATATAATCTTATGGAATAATACCTTGTTTCTTCTGACTAGTAGGTTGAAATGAGAGAAACACCAAGAGGAATAATGACACTCTGACCATTGCATGCACCGTTTTGTTTCCAGTATATCACTGACTTGTAGTACCTTGCAAAAAAATAATTACCTTTCAATCATACAATTTTCGGCCCAACACGTATTAAATTGAATATTCCTGCCATCCCAAAGTGGATGTGGGTTGTTGGTTTTATTTAATGGACCACTAAATAAATTACTATGAAAGATCAATCTCTCTCT